CAATCACGGAGTCTACCAGGCTGAAATTTTAGGATAATGACCCCTTGCCACGCTCAACCTTGGCCATTCAAATTCAGCGTTCCTGCGCTCTCAGGTACCACCTACGGGCTAGTGAAAGTTTTTACGGGTAATTTAATATATCAGGAACCACGGAAAGATATTCACTTTTCAAGGCTTCAAATTCAGCTTTCATGCGCTGGTGCGTAAAATCTTTAACTGTTTCCCAATGTTTGAACTATTTCGGCATAGACTAAAGTACAAAACCGTGAAAATCATTAGCAGGCAATCGTTCGATGGACTAAATTGCACAAAACGCATGATCGCACTGGCTGGTCTGGTGCGCATTGCTATTTATTATATTTGCATGTACGCAAAAACGCATAAAAACGAAAATCACAAAATAGGCTCACCAACAATAGGGTTTGTATAAGCACCTTCGCCAACTTCCAAATCAATTAGTGTGCTCTGCACTGCGGCCGGACTGCTAACTTCCGTTCTGCGAGAAGCGCTGGCTGGCGGCGAATCGTGTACAGACGGAGCTGTATCAGACATGCGACATCTGCTTGGCGGCACTTGTCCAGTGCCCACCTGCAACCTCACAGGAAAAATCGCCGTGCCCAGTGAAAGCAGCTGGCAAAACGTTAATTAACAGAATGGAAGCAAATATCTTCTGAGATTATCAACCGCTCTGATCGAAGGAAAAACGAGATGGATGCAACGTTTATTCAACAGAATACAGCAAACGCAGAAAAAAAAATGGCAACAGCCAGATTTGTGCAACAAAACGCAGCAACATTGATTTATGTACAAATTACGCCGCATAAGAAACAAGTTCCGGAAGGACGAGACGAAGGAAGGAAACCACCGTCAATTTATGCGAAATTTAGATAGGCTGCTGCCCTGTGACATGGTTTCAACTAAAGCTAATTTTTTTTTGAATGATAATTTCACCGTGCTTTTTAACTTTTTATTTAGTCACTGCTCAGGATTTTTTTTGATTCTCATTCTTATCTCTCCATTATTTTCCACTCAGATGTAAGAGCGCACAGAGTTCCTTCTATTCGATCATCTTCCGGCAAATTCCCTTCCGTAAGCACAACTGTCATCGAACAGGGCGAGAAGGTCGAATCCAGCGAAATCGATTTTTATTCCAGAAAACAGAGGAAGAGTGTGAGAAAGGAAGTACCATAATCCCAAACAGATAAAGCAACTTTTGTCCACAGAAATCAATGGAAAGCTGCAACATAAGTCGACGGCATGTAATGTGCTACGACAAAATGAATTACAACCACTGTAATGTATCATGAAAAGAGAAAATTAAAAAACAAAAAAAAAATAATTAAGTTTGCCGACAATATATATGCTGTGTGTGAACGGTGAATTAATGAAACCTTGTGCTGAACTACGATAGTTTATAAAGGCGCCACTTCAACAGTTCTAACGAAAATGCCCAGGTGAATGACGAGGATACGCAGATAAACATGCATACAAAGAAACACCAATCACAATTTCACGTGTATTCAACTTTCCCACTCCTACCCGTACACATTGCTCAGTCTGTGTTTACAGCTAAGAAATGAAACACAGACTCCCTACATTGTAAAATGTCCTTCGGCACATTGCACTAATCCTTCCATTCCACTATTTCACACGCCAGAACCTGCAAGATCTATTTGCTGAAGCAACAGGAGCATCTGGATTGTATTTTGTATGGCTACCATAACCTTAAAAATTCCTTCATATACAGTTTTGTTCATTGCGCTTCTACCAGTGAATTTTCTGAAGTATCGAGCACATCAAAACCAATGCAAAATTTTGTCACTTGTCATTTATGGCGAGCTAACTATAATCTGTCCAGTAGATAAGTGTCGTTGCAACTGCTGGTATTGTGTAAGTAACAAAATAACTAATTTCTCTATGCTAAACGGTCGCTGTGATCATGGGAATTTCCTCCAACAGGATCAGATGTTGGCCTGGGAAGATAGCACCATCTGCTCACACCCTAAATACCTGGACGAGAAAGCACGTAAAAAAACCCGAGAAGAGCTCCGCACCCCACTGATAGCCAGAGAACAACGATATATCAGATATTTCTGGAGCGCTGCACAGTAAAAACGTTGTCGAGAGGCTGTCTGTATGTGTGTGTGTTCGGGAAGCGAGTGCATTTTGTCACCCACTTTTAACTTGGAAACCAGGAAAGTTGGGAGGCTGAAACTTTGGATATATGTTCCTACTCCGTGTGTCACCCTCCTGTTTTAAGATCTTCCCCCATACGCGCC